CTAAAAATTGATTTAAAAAATACAAAAAGACATCTGAATTATTTAAATAAAAAATACAAAAATTATATTAATAATTAACAAAATGGATTTAAGCAACTATTTAGTCCAAAAATTAACTAAATTTCAACTCATCAATGTTTCTTATTGATCATGTGCATTTTTGTCGTGTTATCTTCAAATTGGATTCAAATCTTTATCAATATGTACAAAATATCACTAGATGATATATCTCCATGTGCCTTGTTATTCAAAAATGGCACCAACATACCATTTTTCTATCTTCTTATTTCTCAAATTATTCCAATTGCAATCTTTGGTGGATTTCATCATAATCTCACCCAACTCTACCCCATTCGTTGACATCCTTAATAATAAATATAAGTGTAATTATCATTATTTTAGTTATAATATGATTCTTTTATAGTATATATATTAACATTATTGAAATTGGTTTAGTCATTGTTTTAAGAAAACTAAATATATGATTAAGCTTAATATTAATTATTAGATTTGACTTCTTTAAAATGAGGATATTTCACTTTAGAGAATAAAATATAACAATAATTACTAATTAAAAATCAACAATAAATATTATAATTCATTTTAAATTTTATTATATATATATATATATAATTTTATCATAATTGTCAATTATTAATTTTAAAACAAAGATTATTATTACATTTTAGACTTAAATATGTTTTTAGTCGCTCAAATTTAGGGTAAATTTGTTTTTGGTCCCTCAAATTTAAAATTAATGTTTTTAGTCCTGTAATTTCAAAAAATCTTATTTTAGTCCTTATATTCAAATTTTGTTAAGAAATTTATAAAATATTATTGTATAAAATCTACCTATTGATATTCTTGTTAATGAAAATATCACATTAAATCCAATTGATATTGTATAATCGTCTTAATTTGTTACTTTCATATATTTTATTGGTGATCTGAAAGACTAAAATAAGAATTTTGAAAATTACAAAGACTAAAAACAAAAATTTTAAATTTAAAAGACCAAAAATAAATTTATTATAAATTTGAGGGACTAAAAACATATTTAAACTTACATTTTTATTCACTAAAACGGAGATTTTGACTTTTAGAAATAATCAAATGCTTAATTATTAAACGAATTTGGAGAGATGCTTTTAAGGGCGACAGAACAAAAATAAACAAATGCATCAACAGAACATCTTCTTTCTTTAATCGCCGCCAAAATGCTCATTTATGTTTGTTTGTTGCCATCCACCAAGACTCACTCCTTATTTCCGATTCTCCATTCTCACCAATTCATTGCAACCACTCAGTCAATGGCGACGCAACTTTCCCACCTCCTGGAGCCGTGGTACACCCTCGCCGGAAAATAAATTTTTTGAAAATTACAATACTAAAAAAATAGTTTTAAATTTGAGAGAATAAAAATAAATTTATAATAAATTTAAAAAACTAAAAACATATTTAAATCTTGATTAGTTTATGTCATCGATAAAGATTAAAATAATTTTTTTTTTAAAATTACATTACTAAAAAAATAGTTTTAAATTCATGGAAAAAAATTTATTTTAAATTTTAGAGACTAAAAATATATTTAAATCTATTAATTTATTTTTAAATATTAAAATTATTTTAATTTAATATTTTTAATTTTAAATGTTCTTTTTGAATATTGATATATAGAAAGACATTTGTAATTTAATTTTGTTGAAGAATATTGATAATTTATTTTGATGTCATAATAAAAAGGGTCTCTATAACACTATTTTACTTAGAGTAAATTATATCTATATTTATGAAATTTTATGAATTACACAAATATTTTTTACATTTTTTATTTTAATATTAATTTTTCTTAATTATTTTAAAATATTATATTAATACTTTTTGAAGCATACATTTTAATTATTTTAAAAATATTGTATTAAGATTTCTTTAAGAGAAATTGTTATAAACATTAAGGGAAAAAAAAATAAGAGTGTCAGTCCAATTACAAAAGTAACAATGTAATTTACTATTTTTCTTATTTGAATAAGAGGGAAATTAACAATTATTTTGGACATTTGAAATGTCACCCAGTATATATAGGGTCACTATCGCAACATGCTACGAGATCAGTAAACTTGGTCACTGTCCACGATGATTTAGAGAAATTGATGTCATTTTTTTACCTATTTTATTCTATTTCTGCATATATTATTATTATTATTTTATTTGTCATCGATTTAAATTTGAAATTTTTATAATTTATAATTCAATTTTGATAATTTAGATACAAGTTTAAAAATATTTTTAAGAATTTCTTTATCGAAAAAACTCTTTATTTTTAATAAAAAAATATTCAAAAAATATTTTTAGCTTGTATTCAAACAAGTTCAATAACTTTTAGACCCACCTGACTGTCATAGAGTTGTCCTCTCATTCTATTTCTAGATCCTAAGGATTTAGTCAGACGTTTTACAATCGATTTAAGTAGAGATTTACAAAAAGAATGAAATGAAAATTTGTAATTGTTTTTCTTTATTCTTTTTTAGTCTTCAACCTTTTTTTAATATAGGTGTTTCTTGAAGATATTATAATAAATCCTTGAGTTTTTCTCACAAGTTTGCTTTGTCTTTCTTCGCTTTCCTTCCTTATTGAGAAAAGTGTCTATTGATTCATTACATGCAAGCATTAAATGCATTTCATAAAATTATCATTTTTTATCTAATCAAGGAAGTTACTTATCACCTTTAAGATATAAAATGGAAAGAATTGATGTCTGTGTTAGTTGAAAATAACTTTATTTTGCACACTTTGAGATATTTGCTTATGCTTTCTCTTATGAAAAACATATCTCAGTTCCCTTGTGAAGTTCAAGTATCAAAGAAGATTTTGTTCTTTTGATTAGTCAAGGAATAACATAGATAAAGATGATTTGGTTATTAGATATCATAAATTATATATATTTAATGCATTTTTCTTAGACAAACAAAGTGATTCATCTGATAGACTACACGTTATTATAATCGATCGCCTATTTAAGTTCGTCTTTCTATGTGATATGAAGAACATTTCTTTAACAAAAACATTCAAGTTTGTTGGCATTAAAACTTATGTTCTAAGAGACTCAAGGTTGTTTTTTAATCTAACAATCTCCCTCTTTTGATGGTGACAAACACATTTTTAAAAATAATAAATTTTTAAATATTTCAAAATCTAGTTAATTACGACTCTAAGATGAATAATAAATAACCCAAGATATTTTAATTAACACATATGCTTGTTATTTATAATGTAGCAACATGTCAAGTATTACTTTCTTCCTTTTATCAGAGTATATGTAATCAATCAAAGCTAAATAAGATCATGACATGCCAACACAATCAACAATCAGATTAAAAATAAAGCATAAATATATATCAATGCATAACTATTTTACTTAGAGCAAAATTATCAAAGAATGAGTATAGTAAGATTATCAGAGCACAAGTAAATTAAAATTATCAAAGCATGAATTCACGCGTTTTGTATACTCCCCTTGAGATGCACCAAAAATTTTAATATATATATATATATATATATTCAAAAACTTAATATTACTACTCCTTCTTTTGGAACCAGCAAAAGCGAGGGCCAAAGTAACAAATTCATGATATTTAATATTTTATATTATATTAATTTGAGATTTTTCTATCTTAAATGTAAAATTGATATATATTGTTATATTTTATTAAAATTTAAAACTTAAATATTATATTTAAACTTTTACATGCACTTTAAAAATAAAAATATATAAAATAATGTCTATTTTAATTTATTAATATAAAATTATGATATTATATTTATGCAATATTATTTTATGTATTATTTAAATATTATTATTATTTTAATAATATGAATTTAACCACAATTAAACTAAACTAGTCCAGTTTAACCAACTATTAATTTCCTGAAATTTCTTAGTAGTGTGGTGAATAGAGTTTACTGGTCATTTGGTGATTCTAGTACGGTATTATTACAGTGTAACTGTAGCCTAAGCAAAGCATTTGGGGTAGCAACTGCTAGCGGCAAAAGAGGATTCAATCATTTTTTTTTGTTTATTTTTCTTTTTTCTATTTATTTTAGTTTAATTTTTCGATATGTATTTGTTTTAATATGTATTCATATGACGTTTGTTGTTAAATGAGTTCAAGAAACCTAATGGAAAAATGTAGGAAAAAAAAACTATACTATTATCTAATTTATTTAGATTTTATGAAGAAGAAATTAGTGAAATAGGGGGAAAAGGATAATTAAATAATAATAATAATAATAATAATAATAATAATAATTATTATTATTATTATTATTTTAGAAAAATTAGGTGTTTACAAATAGTTGCCTTTCTATAATGTTCTAAGAACGGATGATGGATTCCATCTTCAAGAGAAAAAGAAATAAGTACAAGTAAAAAAGTATGAAGCTTTCTTATTCAAGACTAAGAATAGCAACAAACTCAGTTCCATCAATCATGCTCAGTTTGCCTTTTTCTATTGATGGAGGGATTAGAGTAGAAAGCGACTAAGAAAGAATTAAGAAATTCCTTAGAGGGAGGATATGAAAGAGTGAGCAAATAATGGGTACTATTTGACTTATAAAGACAGGGAATAAGCTTTGTCAAATTGGGTTTTCTTGATAAAAATCACTATTTGAAATTTAAAATAAGATAAAATAAAAATTTCCAAAACTTAAGGAAAATCCTCGATCATTTGATTTTTAGGGAATATATATAAAAATATTCTTTACTTGCCAAAATCATCATTTATAAGCGTGAAAATTTCTTTATGATAAGAATTGGTGGGAGCTACATCTAATGTAGAGTTTCTTTTATAAAATCATGTGAAAGAAGTTACGTTAAAGTTGAAGAATAATCAAGGAAATATTTTTAAAAGTTACTTTTTTTTGTTCTCTATTATAAAAAAAAAAATACATTTTTTGTTCTTAAATATAAATAAATTTAACTACTTTTGCATATGTAATGACTCGTCATGATCGTCACACTATGGAACAATACAACACACTATTGAAATATATACTAAAATAGTATAATAAAAATATTTACAACACAAATTGTTAAGCAAACAACCAACAAACAGTCAACTATATACAACAAAATATGCTACTATAAGGTAGCCTATAAAAGAAACATCCACTTCAGGCACCTCCTATGGTCTCTAGTAATTATCTCCCAGCTTATCACTGCCCTGCTCACATACATCGTATGATCATCACAGTCCAAACTACATGGAAACATGCAAGGGTAAGCTAGAGAAAATAAACGACTCATAATAATTAAATATGCAGCACAACAACTATATAATCATTTTCACATCCTACACAGAGGACTAACAACACATATACTACACATCTTAACATCATTTTAACTTAATTCAACACATCAACACTGATCAACACAGTATCAACACCTCAACACAAACTACTATACAACTCATCATAATAGTTACCATATTCAACACAACCACAAACAACACATGTATTACACATCGCTCAACAACACATATTTAAAAGCAACTTACAACACAGGTAATCTAGCAACGCTAGCATCATTATCAACTTGTTCAACATACAATGCACAACACTTTAATAACACACATCTCAACAACACCTTCACAACACATCAACACATACAACTTGTAACACCCCGAATTTTCTACTAATACAATGTTGAATATTATTATTTTTATATAGTTATTTTTGTTAATTAAAGGAGCTTTATAGAGGTTTGTATTAATTTAAAATTATTTATGAAATTTTTATAAATTCTATTTTTTTAGGCTAGAACGGGCTGTTCCAAAAGTGGAACGGGTCGTTCCAGATAATGAAAATAAGTTGTTTTTGAGGGACCAGAACGGGCCGTTCCAAAAGTGGAACGGGCCGTTCCAAAGAAGAAAAGGACCCATTTTTGTTTTCCTAGAACGGGCCGTTCCCAAAAGGAAATGGGCCGTTCCAAGGTTATGAAATTGCCTATAGACCTTAGTTGGAAACGGGCCGTTCCAACCTTGGTCAATCAGTGTTAACGTGAACTTCAGAACGGGCCGTTTTGCTTTTTGAAACGGGTCGTTCTACTTTTTGAAACGGGCCGTTCCAATTGCTAAATTTGCCTATGTTCGAAGGATCCGGAACGGCCGTTCTGAATCCAATACGGGCCGTTCCGGGGACCCCAGGATGCCTATAAATAGGGGTAAGGGGGTGAAAATTTTATACTGAGTGAGAAGGTGAAATCTTAGAGAGAGAAAGAGGAGAGAGAGAGAGAGAGAAAGAAAGAAAGAAAGAAAGAAAGAGAGGGAAAGAAAGAGGGAATCCAGAGGAGGAGGTCCTGCCCAAGTTTCAACTCCGCTTGTCCAGGTAAGGGGGGAGTGAGAAACCTCGCTCAGGGGTGTGGGGATAATTGTTGGATAGTTTGTTTGTCGGATTGGCCCCCAATCCCTTGCTGTTGTTCTGTCTGATTTTCTATTTACTTTACTTTGTTCTTTGTTGAAGGTGCCGTTGTTCTGTTTGATTTTCTATTTACTCTACTCTGTTTTTGTTAAAGGTGCCGTTGTTCTGTCCGATTTTCTATTTATTATACTTTGTTCTTTGTTGAAAGTAATAAATGAGTATGAAATTAATGTTAATAATAAATGAGTTTTAATATGAACAAGAATGCTCTCTGTGAATACCTGTGCGGACCTTATGAGGAGTATTGATGACATGACCATGTGAAATATGGACAAATGACATGAGACCTAAGAATGGACTATTGAGACAAACTATGATTATGATACTATGACAAATAATGACATGATGTACTAAATGAAATTATGTAATAAGTTAAATGTTGAGTCAATGAGATTATGAATGTATGACATGCATCATATGCATATATTACTCCAGGTGTGCCGCTGAGGCCGCATACCCACGACTAACAAGGTGTACCTTATGGTCACCCACGACTAACAAGGTGTACCTTAGGGTCACCCACGATGTAACATGCTAACAAGGTGTACCTTAGGGTCACCAGTGATGATATGTGAAACTTCTTTATGGCGCCACATGCATGCATTTATGAGTCGAGTCCATGACATCATAGCATGATAAATGAATATATATGTGATATTGATTATTTATGTATGTTATTTACATGTGACTTATATTTGTTGTGTGTGTGTGGGCTATTTAACCTTTATTTCTGCACCTGAAACTGAGTGAGATGTTTCTCACTCCCTTGTTGTTTTTGTATATGTTTAAATTATGATGCAGGTGATCAGCATCATGAGGATGTTGGTGATGAGGCTTAAGGCTTCAGTTGGGCATGCTCTGATAGGATGTGGCATCGGGGCATAGTTAGCTTAGTTTAATATGTTATTGTTTTAATAACTTTAGTTTCTCTTCTTTTGTAATTTCTAACGAAGAGATAACGTAGATAAAATTTATAATCCAAGGAAAATGTATGTTAAGAATTGTAATTTGAACGTTCTTGATTAAAGACCAAAATGTACATTTTTGTTATATTTTTATTACATGATTTGGAAAATATAAATTAATTCCTAACCAGGAGGCACTGCCACCTTTACTGGAGTTAATTTATATTTCCTGTATTATTATTTATATATATATATATATGATTTCTTGTTTTCACTAAATTGTATTGAAAATCTTAACTTCTTTTCTTTTGTAATTTTTACATTGGAGTGGTGATTTATGAGTTATGAATGTGAATCTTCTACCTTGTGATATTTAAGACATTTGTCAACTACGAAAGATTTTATTTACTCAAAAAAAAATTTGTTTACATTTATTGTGTATTTATGTTGGGGTAGAAGGGTGTCACACAACTCATATTATCACAATATTAACTCATCAACACATATGCATCGTCATGCATTTCAACTTGAAGATCTCCTAACAACATGAGCAGTCTAAGTGATTTTCACCCTACCGAACCAACCCAATCATTTTCACGCCCGAAGCGCCGGCTCGATCACAACAAAATGGGATACTAATCCCTCCTCTAATTTCTCAGGTCTCATCACTTACACTAGGAAAGTTCGGTTCCACCGTTAGGAGTAGTACAACTGGGTATAGGCTTACCACGACCTTGGCATGCATTACCAAGTCACATATGAAATTTGCCTACTGATTATCCTCAAGGAACCACACAACCTTTCCAGGTACTTGGTTAAGGGTAATATCCCTCGACCTCCTACTTACTCAACCACTAACTAAGGGTTTGGAGGAGACTTAACACACCTCAAACCCTACTTCAAGAGACACAACTACTCAATGAGGATTTTCCAAATAATGGCCTACCCGAGCACCACTCCAAGATACCCTATGTGGGATCTTCAATTTTCAAAATAATTTTCTCTCCTTAAATCCTAAGTTAGCCATCATGCTATAATGTCACACCGCATTCTCAGCATCCACACCGTACCATACATCTACTATATACATTACATCCAGTCAATGTGCATAGAGATTAATACCATCAATCATGTGCAGCATACCAACGCTTAACAGCTTAACCAAGAACAACATACCAATGCCTAACATTTTATACAATGATAGCATATTAATGCTTAACATCTCAACCAAGAACAACATACCAATACTTAAAAATTTATACAATAATAGCATATCAATGCTTAACAATTAATTCAACATAACATATCAAACATACAATGCTCTCACCATTTCAAGTACACAAGGATAACATTCCAATACTTATTATCATCATCCTATAACATACAACATGCAATAGACACAATCATTCTATTCATGTTCACCAATTTCACCCATCAGATAACATGTATCACATGTAATTTATCAAAATCACATATTTTTACACTGACAACCTTCACCTAAAACAACCCACAGGGAGTTCTACTACTCCAATCATTCACATCCTTATCTCATATGAAATATAAGAAAATTCCCTACAACTCTCATGAAGACACCAAGTCCTAATTCCATAATCTACTTTGTTAAAAATTGTAAAAACCGCAATCGTTTTCCTAAATGTTGACAACTTGACCTTTGCTCACTAAAAAGGTCATAACTAGAGCTCTAGACCTCCTTTTTGGGTGATTCTAACGTCATTGAAAAGCTAACATCCAAGGCTACAACTTTTAGCACTAGATTTCTGTCAACTTAGTTTCCTTTCCACGACCATGGCTGCAATTTTCTGCCACTTCATTTTTCCCCCACGGCCATGGTTGTGAATCCACGGCCAGATTGTGAGTTTCAGTCACTTCATTTTTCTCCCACGGCCATGGCTGTGAATTTCATAATTTTATGAAAATGCATGGGTTTCACCTTCGATTTTCACTCAAAATCCATCAATCTTTACCCCTAAACATGATCCACCTTTATAATTTTTACTCATTTTGTTTATACAACTCAGAAACCTCAAGAAACACCACATGCATGGACTAAGATTTAAAAAGATCATTAAGAACAACCATAAGGTTTCAACTTTCAACATGCAACCAACCTTAAATCCACCCCCAAAAACTCAAACTTTCCAAGAATCCAACTAATATTATGTTTCAATTCAAACAACAACTCAAGATTCTAGCTTTCCTTACCTCAAAACAGAGTGAACGATGAACTCCGAGCTATTCTGAGATTGAAGAAGAAGAAGAAGAAGAAGAAAAGAAATGGTGATGCGAACCAACTCCGAGCTTCAAGCTTTTCTACCTTCTCTACTATCCAGCACCTATGTGAATTCTTGAACTTGAGGTTCCACAACTGAAAAGAATGAGTGGAAAGGGAAATAGAGAAGAAAAAGGAAAATGAGAGGGGAGAGAAGAAAAGTGTACGGGTCTAACAACATTATTTAGTAATATTTTTTCCAAAATATCCCTCATTTAATGTATAATTTTTCAGTTATACTACTCTTAACATTTATAACGAAGATAATTTAGAAATAATCTATTAAAAATAACAATTTTTTGTAAATAATTAATTTTTAAATATGCATAGAAATAATTGTTTTTATTATAATTAAGAACAAAGGAAGTATGCTATTAAAAAAAATGCTTGCTCTTACAAATTTCGAAACATGTTTTTTAGGATGCATTTGTTATATGTGATTTTTCAACTTACTCAAAGAAAAAGGATTGAAATTTTGTTAATCAAAGAAAATGAAGAAAGGAGATTTTAGATGCTTGAAGTGACAAGTTAATGTAGGAAAGTATATTTTTTTTAATTGCATAAACATTGTAATCTCTTTCTTTAAATACTCAAATAAAAAATTATCAATGGATATAAATATGTTTATTTTCAACAATGATTTTTAGTTTCGAAAAATTTATGTGCGCTTTTTTAAACAATTTTTCTTTTCTTATAATAGAGTATAATTCTACTTTTATTTCTTTTTAGTTTTTCATGATATGATCATTTCGATTGAAGCATGTGTTGTAAAATTCATCAATATTTAAACGTGACGTTAGGGTTCATAACTCTTTTACCCAAATTGTTCTTTCAGCATATTAAATATATCTTCCTAACCTAGTCCTGAAGTCGGCGTGAGAAAAAGAAAATGGTCTTTTGAAGTTTCGACTCTAACTCCCCAATTGTTTGTAATCCAATCTCCTTCGTGAACCTCGGAAAATTAATGTTTTATAACTGCACAAGTCTTAATAAGTTATTATTATATAAAATTAATACATATTATTATATTTTATTAAAGAGGAGGTTCAAAAGACATTTATTATAATTTTATATTAAATATAAATTTTATAAATTTAATTATTAAATTATAATTTCATATTATTTTATATATTTATATTATATTTTATTATATTTTAAAATGTTATACAAAATATAAAATATTCTTTACCTGCCAAAAATATGTTTAATTTTATCAATGATTTTTAGTTCTAAAATTTTGTATGCCTTTTTTACCCATTTTTTCTTTTCTTACAATAGAATATAATTCTACTTTTATTTCTTTTTCGTTTTATTTTTAATTTTTCATGATGTGATGTTTTCGATTAAAATATGTGTTGTAAAATTTATCAATATTAAAACGTGTCGTTTGGGTCCATGTTTCTTTTACTCAAATTGTTCTTTCAGCGTATTAAATATAGCTTCCTAACCTATTATACATATTATTATATTTTATTCAAGAGGAGGTTAAAAAATACATTTTATAATTTTTACTAAATATTATATTACTCAATAATTTTAAATTAAATATAAATTTTATAAATTTAATCATTAAATTTAATCAAAGTATTCATAGTTTATTATATTTTAAATATATATATTATATTAATTTTATTTTATAAAAATAAAATATCAAATTATTTTAGATTAATATAAAATTATATATATATAATCTAAGAACAAAATATTTTTAGTTAAATTTATAAAATTTACATTTAATATAAAATTATTGAACAGTATAATACTTAATAAAAATTAAATTAATATTATTTAAACTCTCACTTTTATTAAAATTTAAACTTTTACATGCACTTTACAAAATAAATAAATAAATAAATATAATAATAATATTTATTTTATATACTATTTAAATATTATTAATATGAATTTAGAACCAGAATTAAAACAAACATTTAAAAGAAGCATTTATTAAATAGGTGAAATTTCTTAGCACTAACCTGTTCCACGTGAGTAAAAACACGAGTCCACGCATCTTCTGCAAACTTCTTCAATTAAACTTCCATGTAATGCGTATTAATGTTCGTTGCCACCAACCATCCCATGTCTTCATTCCTTCTTTTTTTCTCTATAAAAACCCTTTCTCTAAATTCCCACTTCGCACCTTCACTACACCCAATGGCGCCGCAACTTTCCGACCACCACGAGCCGTGGCACTCGCTCGCCGGAAAAGTCGTCATGGTCACCGGCGCTTCCTCCGGCCTCGGCCGCGACTTCCCTCGCCCGCGCCGGCTGCCGCCTCGTCGCGGCCGCCCGCCGCGTCGACCTCCTCGAGTCGCTCTGCCGAGAGATTGACCGGATGGCGCCGCCGGAGGAGTCTGCCGGCCGCCGCGCCGTCGCCGTGGAACTCGACGTGGCCGCCGATGGCGCCGCCATCGAGCGGTACGTGCAGAAGGCTTGGGACGCGTTTGGCCACGTTGATGCGCTGATTAACAACGCTGGTGTGAGAGGTAATTGACTTAAATGCTTGAATATGTTAATGTGGATTCTCTATAGTATGTTTGGTATAGTATGTTTGGACTGAAAATTTAAAAGAAATAATTTAGTTATTTAAATAATTTTAAAATTTTTAAAGTTATATATTTTATTTGGATGAAAAATTTATAAAAAATTTGAAATTTAAGTATTTGTGAAAGTTTTTAAAATAATAAAATTTTAAATTTTTTTAAATGAATAAGAATTTAAAATTTTTTTTATTTTTTTTATTTATATATTTTATCTTATTTTTTATTTTTTTTATTTTTTTAATTATTAAATATTTAAAATGATTTTTGT